CTTTAAAAAGTTAGTAATGGTTAGAGTCAGAGAGATTATATTTATACCAAACTATAACAATGGTGTTTACATTAAAACAAGATTACAAGATCTCCATGATAATACAACACGACTTAACTTTAATTTAGGTTTAAATTTTACTATGGTTCATAAATAATGGAATGAACTTTAGTACAAGATATTTTAATTAATTATATAATTCTTCCTACACCATTAAAACTTTGGAAGTTTCAAGTTTATTTTAATTGAGTTGCGAATTTTTAAATTGCCTTTTTAGTCCACCATGGGAGAAATTTTAACTATTTTTATTCTTCAACTCTAAAAATATCTATTTTAATCATCCATTTAAAAATAATTATTTTTAAAAATCAAAACTAAAATAAACTTTTTAAAATTTAAGAAAATACCCAAATTTTATAACTAAAAGAGAATAATAACAAAACTTCAAGTACAATTAAATAATCTGGAAAGTGGGTGCAAAAATATGTGATAAGTCTCGCTACTAATATAACATGTTTGACTTGAATTCAACATTATTTTTTAGATGTCAATTCGTGCAAAATTTAATTGGATAAGACACCTTAATACTATTAGAAAAATCGATAGTTCGATTTCTATCCTACAATTATATAACTAAAAAAACATAACTTTTGAGATCATTTGTTGACAAAAATATATTATATGTCTTATTAGATTTTAAAATTTTAGTAGAAAGATGTCTATTTTATATAAGTATATTATAGTAATATATATGTAGCATGATTTTTTATTATAAAATACGGAATTTAATTATCTATAAAAAAACTTTAAGATTTACGTCAAATATTCATTAATTAGTTTAAAACTTCATTATTATATAATTAATGAAAACGACCATGATAATCAAAACTATATGCATCATGATATTAATTTTTTTTTAATAAATTACGGAATTTGATTATCTATCAAAAACTTTAAGATTTACGTCAAATATTCATTAATTAGTTTAAAACTTCATTATTATATAATTACTGAAAATGACTCTGATAATCAAAACTATTGTTTTGAAAGTTCAAAAATTAACATAAAATTTTAAAAGATTAGAGACTAAAATAAAATAACCTTAAAAATTTAGGTACTAAAATAGGATTAATATTGTATTAGTTTAGTGTAGGAAGCAAATATATCGTACATTTTAAAAGCAAAATTCAGACTCAGTCTTTCTTGTTAAAGAACGACCAACACACTTCTTCAAATACGCAAATCTATGAACAAGTATTATAGCATAATAGTGCAAACTTTTTTTTTTAACAATTTTTAAAAACTAAATATGTTTTAAATTAAATATATTCATGTAGTACTGTAAATTAATTAATGCCAATAAATCAAGTTTGGGGTTAACGATATATTAATTACTTAAATTAAGCCACAATTTCATATTGGATTGAACACAAAGTTTGAAAGTATGATGTCAAATGTTGAAATTTCAATTTTATGAAAATTTCCGATATCAATAGAAATTTTGACATTATTTGAATACAAATTATAGAAATTGATATAGAAATTGAAATTGATACAAATTATTTGAATTAGTAAATAAGCTTATTTTAAGTCTTTCATGGTTGCTTAATTAGACTATTAACTAAAGTCAAAAAAAAAAGGTAGGCTATAACTAACCTTTTTAATCATTATATATCTAAAAATATGAATAATATTTATAAAAAGAAATGTCGATGCTAACGAAAAATTCGAAACAAATCTCGAAAACATGAAAATTGATGGAAATTGTTTGAATTAATTTATGAAACTTTAATATAACTCATCATTTTTACTAAACATATTAATAAAACTAAGTAATATTTGTATGCAGGATATCAAATCTCGATAATATAAGACTAATATTGTAAGATAGTATAATAATTTTAGAATATTAAAACTGTAAAACTTACGTAAATATCAGAAATAAGCTAATACACTACTTTGCAGAAGCATGCACAACTTCATGATAANAGGAAAATTTTAACAACCCATCTTAAACATGATAAGATATTGAACTTTAAAAATTAACTACATAATTAGAATGATATATGCTGAGAGTTTGAGAGAAATTATGGAGAATATCAAATTTTCTTGACATAATTTCATCAACACTGTCAATATTTCTCGACATTTCCTCAATATCATGAGAAAACAAAATTTTCTTCTTTGTCACGATGTTGGAGAATTTGATACTTCAAAACGTCGAGCTACATTATTTGTCATTTTAAATCTTGATTGGACTAAAATTGTTAAAGTTCAGCTTTTCTCTTATTGGTCTATTAAATCATATGTTTGAGTTTGACATTAAGATGTATATATATTATAAGCTCATTTGAAGTTTTTTAAATTACTATATATTTGTGTCAGGATCAACTAATGTTATGTTAGTCAAATAATTAAATTTTAAACCATATATTAGATGGCATTGCGTGCAAGCTTTCCTTATCGTGACTCTATTCAATAAATTTCAACAAAATTTATATTATTCGAACGGCCCAAACAAAGCTAATTCTTACACAATATTAATTAATTTAATCGTTTTAACAGCCTGTTAGTGTTAACTTATTTTTAATCAATTCCAATTGGGTGCTTTGATACGCATAGCTGGGGTGTTCTTTAGATTAGTATTATATTAAATTTTAATTGCAAACTTCAAAAGCTTATAAATTCTAATTATGAAAAAATCAAGTCACGAATAAAATGACGACCCCGATCGAAATTTTATATATTTTCTAAAATTTGTTTTGAAATTTTGTATTATGCATGGGTTTGCTCGTGTAGTTATAAATTATGCGTTTTCCATTAAGGTAATGTTTTCAAATTGGATTGATTGTATTAGATTAGCATAAGACTGAATAGGAAATTATATAGGAAAAGGGTTTGGGTGAAAAATAGTTTAAAGCTGATTTGTGGGTTTAATTAAAATTAAACTATGAGAATCAGAATCGATAATATTTAACCTAAAATTAAAAGAAAATAAACTTTCAAACTTTTTGATTCAAATATAAATGTGGAATAGAATTCACAAAAACGGTTAAATGGCGTTTGTTCCGTGATTTATTTACTTTACAATATTACTTTCAGACTCTAAAATTGAGAGGTACATATATCTATTTTAATTAGATGTTCAGCCGTTGAAGTTATTTATTTTATTCTTTTTATGATCTTTTAATATATATATATATATATATATATATATATATATATATATATATATATATATAGTACTGAGAGTGGAGTATTGAACTCACAATCTCTTTATTAAACATCTTAGTTCTTATACTTTCATTTTAGTCGTGCTTATCTCTCGATTTTAGTATGTAAAAATTATGTTCTTCTCATTTAAAATTCATAACAATTTAGTCCAACTTTCAAGTATAAAATGATTTAGCTCTTATAATATAAAATTTATAACCATTTAATCTATGCTGTGAAAAATTCTTTTATATCAATGTTTAGTATAATGTCAATCTAAATATAATTAAACTAGTTAAAAGCATGTATCATTGATTAACACAAGTTCAAATCCCACCTCGCATATTATTAAATTAAAAAAATATCAATCAAAAGGTTAAGTGGGTAAAATCCCACTCTAATGGCCCGTATGGTTGAAGTTAAAGAAAAGAAAATTAGCCTATAACAATTTCATTACTATAATAAAAAAAATTATAGTAGTCCTCAAACAACAAATCAGTCTACATACTTAATTATAAGAAATCCCACAACACATCTTAATCAAAATTTTCACAGTAATAATTAATTAAGGTCCCGTTTACTTACCCGCAATCGTAATCAATGAATCATAATGAAAATTTTGATGTAATCAAATGGTGGGATCCACCTCAAACTTTATAATCTCATTACATTCCTATCGCCTCATCAATCTCATTCTCATTCTTTATTCCGCGGATCCCACAATCAATGAATCATAATGAAAATTTTGATGTAATCAAATAGTGGGATCCACCTCAAACTTTATAATCTCATTACATTCCTACAACCTCATCAATCTCATTCTCATTCCTTATTCCGCGGACCCCACATGTATATTATAATTAGTGTACAACTTTTATCATTTCCCTCTCATGATTAGATCCGTATAATTTTTAATTAGTTTTTTTATACTTTTATAATTTCTTCTCCATTTCTACTCCAATTTTTATTAGTTGATGTGATTTTATTATATAATATTAATATTAATTAATATCAATAAATTTTTAAATAGATATTATTACTTTTAAATATTATAATAATAAAACTTAATGATATGTTTTATTTTATTTATTTTTTTGATCGATAATAATATGTTTTATTAAAGTTTGGTTGTTCTAATAAAAAATATTTTATTTGATATAATTTTATTTTAATTATTCATTATGTATTAATATTAGATAAATTGTTATAATAAGAAATATTTACTATAATAATATAGTAATAAATTAAATTAAAATTTATTATTATTAAAAAAGATTAGCACAATAATATATTTGTAACAGGCTAAAAAGGGGAAAAGGTTATATTAGTAATTGTCATATATCTGATTCCGATTTCGATTTCAGATATTTTTAGTAAACAATATCAAAAGAATTCTGATTACGATTTTAGAAAATTTCTAGAAAACAATATCAATGGAATAACATTACGATTTCAATTGATTTCATTACGATTGATTTCTATTACGATTGCAGTTAAGTAAACGTGACCTAAATCGTTAAAACATTACATACTAGACCAAATGTTAACAAAATTTAAACTTGATTGAGAATGCAGAGAACAAAAAGAGAGTTTTAAGTTGGGCCGTTGGAGGGTTGAACACAGCCCACACACAAAGAAGAAACTGAATTTTAAAATTCACAATGGCTTGGAGTGTGGGTTAGGTAAAGATTTTTCATTCTGGTTTTGCATTGTTAGGTGAAATGAAATGATGAACAACATTTTAATTTTCGCCTCTCACACTGGACCTTCCAAGATATTCATGGAAGCTCTCCTCTCTCCAACGGCGGAGGGATTTTTTTTTTTTTTAATAATTCCGTACGCGTATTGAAAAGAACAGCCGCCATCAACAGCCGCCTGCTACCCTATAACTTGTTCTTCCGACCAATAATTACTGTCGGAAGTCAAAGTTGGGTGAAGTCAGTCTTCTTCACCCACTACGCCAATTTGCAACCAAAATATTAAATTTTGAAATTTTCTTCTATTCCTCGGTCAGACTTTGAACTCTGCGAAAGCTTTGAAAACAGGAAACCCATAACACTTCAAACTTTTCAACGGAGCTTTTTTTTGGGTCGTCTTCTTCGTAGTCGTCGCTCTCCTTCCCTTTTATCTCCAAATTGGGAAAACGAAACCCTAGAAGAAACCGGAGATTCAGTAGCAATAGCAAAAGCAATGTCTTTTAACGTCCACCGCTTCGATCCTCAGTCGGCGGCCGAGAAAGCGGTTTCGGTTCTCGGGTTCGGGTACGATCTCTGTAACGACATACGCCTCTCGTCTTGCAAGCCGGGTCCATCCGGATCCAAGCTGATCCACCTCGACCCGACCCGAACCAAGGACCTCGTACTTCCACCTGGAATTGTCGTCCCCAATGTTTCGACGTCGATCAAGTGCGACAAAGGCGAGCGTACCAGATTCCGGTCTGATGTCATCTCCTTCAATCAGGTGATTTTTTTCAAAAATTTTTAAATTTTCCCCTAATTTTTTAAACTTAATTTGAAATTGGGTTCATGGGTTTATTTTGTTTGGTGGAAAACAGATGTCGGAGCAGTTTAATCAGCAGTTGTGTTTATCTGGAAAAATTCCGTCGGGGTTCTTCAACGCCATGTTTAATTTCAAGGGTAACTGGCAGAACGATGCTGGTTCAACAAAAAGTCTTGCTTTTGATGGCTGTTTCATTACGCTTTATAACATTGAGCTGGAAAGATCCCATATTACTCTTTCTGAGCAACTCAAACGAGAGGTTCCTTCTTCTTGGGACCCTGCCGCCCTTGCAGAGTATGTTTCCAGTTTGATAACATTTTTGTTTTTGTTTTGTTGTGGAAATTGATTCTATTTTTGTAGTTTTTTCTTCTGAGATGTGAAAATTTTATGTCTCTGCAGCTTTGTACAGTGATTTTGTGACCACTAATAGTGACTTGATTTCAGGTTCATTGAGAAATATGGTACTCATGTGGTTGTGGGTGTAAAAATGGGAGGAAAAGATGTAATTTACATGAGGCAATTGCGAGAGTCAAATCTAGAGCAGAACGAAGTGCAGAAGACGTTAAAGCAATTAGCAGATGACAGATTTTCTGAAGATGCAAATGCGACTGGAAGTTTCACTTCACATCCTGCTGCACCAAAAATCAAGGTACATGTTCTTCAGTCTTGAAGAACATAAAATCCTGATCCATCTTCTTTCCCTGAAATTGCTTAGATTCAGATCAAACCAAATGAACAGAACGTGGGAAAAAGTTGCTACCTTGTTCAATTTATAAGTGTGACCAAGTTTCCTGGGGTTTAATGATGCATCTACTTTATCCTCATGGATTATATTTTGATAATTTGGATCATACATTTCAGGATGAATATTCTGTGCCGTGGGAGCTTCGTAATGCATTTGCTGCGTCCATCAAACCACCAATAGTCAGTCACTCAAAGAGTGATGTAAGCTTCTGGGCATCCAATCTGTTCATCGCTTGTGTAGAATGTTACTACACGACGTCTTGTAATGGAGACGAGAATTGACTTGTTTAATTAATGAATGGATGCAGGAGTTGATGAAAATTTTTGTTCGGAGGGGAGGTGTCGATATCGGTCAAAGTCATAATCAGTGGCTCTCAACCATATCCCAGTCACCTAACGTTATTTCGATGTCCTTCGTGCCCATAACGTCGCTCATGAATGGCATCCGAGGCAATGGATTTCTAAGCCATGCCGTGAACCTGTACCTAAGATGTGAGTATGCAAGTCCTTCTGTATGGAGATCAGACATTAAAACCTTAATACTTGAGAAACATCCATTTAAAGATTTTGATTTTGACACCCCAGATTCATGGCATCAACGTGTCGCATTCACATTCACATTAAAAGTTGTAGATTTTGATGATTGACAATATTTGCAGATAAACCTCCAATTGAGGAGCTGCAGCAATTTCTTGAATTTCAGCTGCCTAGGCAGTGGGCGCCCGTGTATGCCGATCTTCCTCTTGCTACCCGACATCGGAACCAAGCCTCACCATCTCTCAAGTTCACTTTGATGGGGCCTAGGCTTTATGTAAATACTACTAAGGTAATTAATCTTCTGAATCGAAGACTGACAATGCAGTTGATTTCCAAGTCGAATTACTTGGATAAAATTACTGTATGTTTTACATCAAGTCGCAATTTCGCTGCAGGTTGATGCACAAAATCGTCCAGTGACAGGAATTCGATTGTTTTTGGAAGGGAAGAAAAGCGATCATCTGGCAGTCCATCTCCAGCATCTATCAAGTCTTCCCAAGACCCTCCAACTCTCAGATGATCTTAGTTATAAGCCCATTGATGAGCCAGAGGAGAAGGGCTACTTCGAACCTGTTAAGTGGAGCATATTCTCTCATGTCTGCACTGCTCCAGTGGAGTACAATGGTTCTCTAATTGATGACGACTCTGCTTCCATAGTCACCAAGGCTTGGTTTGAAGTTAAGGTTGTTGGAATGAGAAAGGTGTTGTTCCTGAGGCTCGGGTTCTCAATGGTGGCATCGGCAGTGATTCGTCGGTCGGAATGGGAAGGACCTTCAACGACATCCCGGAAATCTGGACTCATCTCCACCTTTATCAGCACAAGGTTTAGTACTGGGCTGCATCAACCAGAAAAGCAACCAAAAATTGAATTGAACTCGGCTGTTTATCCCGACGGTCCACCTTTGACTTCGAGGGCGATGAAAATGTTGAATGTCATCAACACGAAAGAAATGGTGCGTGGCCCTGAGAATTCACCTGGATACTGGGTGGTCACCGGAGCCAAGCTTTGTGTGGAAGGTGGCCGGATCTCTGTCAAAGTGAAATACGCATTGTTAACCATATTGTCGGAGGATTCTATGATATGATGAGAGAAAACTAGGCAGCCAGTAGAAACACCTATTTTTCTGCTGTAAATGTGTTTTGTACATTAGTCCTCTCTATACTCAACCACGAAACACCATCATTCTTGGTGACACCAATAGTATTTTGAGAATGTAAAGTCGTGACATATTAAAGCATTTTTTGGAGTGAGAATTTCTGGTGGCCTGGTTTCGGTGCCATATTTGATTATCCATCTATTTACTAAAGCCAAAAGAAAGGGTTATATTTCCCCCTAGATAAATCTCATGGATCTTCAAGAACTGATGCTCCCCAGTTTTGGAATATCAGCATTTTCTTTTTCATGTAAAATGTTTAAAATAAAGTGTCAGCCTGTCAGGCAATAAATATATCTCGGACATTTTACACAAAATATGAATATTTTCACTCGAATTCTAAAAGTTTGCAACCTATGTCTAGACTAGTTCTTGAAGAAATTCATATCCCAGAATGGAAAATTTATCTGCAATCCAAGCAAAAGTATAGGATGGTGGGGAAAACTGGGTGCTGACATATAACCCTCGCCCTCTTCTCTTGAGGATAGCCCTTTACCTGCAAAACCGCGAAGAGAGGAACATCCAGGCACCAAAAATTGGAAAGGTAACAAGAGCAGACGCCTAAAAATCCATAACACATGATTAGATAATGGAAGTACGCAAAAAGACAGGTGACAAAATTCTAGATGAAGTAAGAAGAATTTCGTCAGCTTACCAGAAAGAAAACAAATTCCCTGTTGGCAAGAAATGCTGCATATTCATTTCTTTCCATTTCTTGTTTAATCAGTCTTTGTAACTGCAGATATCAATATTCAAACTTTATAGTCACTATGACGAAGGGAATAAAACTAAGACTGGCAATATGCTTATTTAACTCTAATGCCACATTCTTCAACGAGATACAAATGTCAAAGATTAAGTATTGGAGGCATTTTAAGAGAATGTATATGGTGGGCTATTGGTTTTACTCCCATTCTATGGCTTTACAGAAATTAGTAGATTGACTTTGTCCTACATGTGACATACACACACACCTCATGATGATACTTTTTAGCTTCTTTATAGGCTCTTTCGCAGTGATGGATGGCTCCTGTAACCATGGAACGCAAGGTAGGCAGTTTGCTGAACAAACGATGGTTCAACGTCTGAAGGTCCTTCTGAAGTTGATAGACAAAACGTGTGTTGACCAACTATAAACAAGATGAAACACATTCAATAAAGTTTACAAGTGAAATTATTTATACAAAATGTGAAATGATAAGAATTGTTCGATTCCAACATTGGTTATAACTTATAACTTATATTGCAGCACTCTACGAAGGTTCAGGCAACCATAATGAACGGGTAAGCCAGAGTAAACAACAAAAAAATAATGTGCAACTGAGCTTGTTAAAAAATTACCTTCAGAAAAGTACATCGAGCGAGGGCAACTTGCCGATGAACCTTCACAGCTCTTATCTGGTCACAAGGCAATGAAGTTAGTTAATACATTGGTATAACAGCTCGAACAACAAATTTTTGCCCACTCCAGCAAGGCATACTTTTGTCATTTCAAGAGCCTGCTCCAGATGCCGAATTTGAATCCATTGTTCAGATACTATGCCAGACATCTGGAAAATAAAATGGTCCTGGAGTAAGCACATTAACGAAGGAATACTTGCATAGGAGGACATTACATATACATCAATGGATACAAGTTGGTAGAGGAGAAAATATGTAAAATTGTATAGAGAAATGAACTCATTTTCAATCAGAGTCCAGAACAAGCGTCGACCACATTTCTTCAGATAAGTAAACCGTGGACATGTTCTAGGCAACATAGAAAAAGGGGGAAAACATGAAAATTTTCAACAAATGACAAGATGTTGAAAGATTTCTCTTTTCTAATTTGTTAGATAATGTTAGCTACTGGATATCATGGAGTGTGCGAGAAAATAAATCATAAGTAAAAAGACAAAAAGAAAAAAAAAATCAGAATTATAGGCCAAAAACTAATACACATTGTCACATAAACATGAATGATGATGATGATAATAAAAATAAAACATTCGCCTTAGATTTATAAATTTGTCATGACAAATATGTAAGCATGTTGCATTGAACATTCAAACAACGCCTACTAGAAAATACAAAACCTAGTCCTTTCTCCAATAGAAATTTAGACCTTCTCAACTTGTGAGGCAACCTCTTCCAGTTTTTCCTCTGCATCCTCTACTCTGGCTTTCAGAATATGAATATCAAAGTTGTTCTTTCTTGATGCAGCCCAGATAAGTCGTACCTAACATGCCCAAGCCTACTATACGGATCAATTGAACCTTTGAAGATGCTTCAACAAAATTTATCAGATAATAGGCTCCTGGATCAGAAAATCTACCAACGAAACTTTTACATCAAAAATTGAATATGACAAAGTAGATAGAAACCTCATCCTCCAGAGCAGCAATCCTTTCACCATCACTTGATGTTTTCCTCTGCAAATTCAATAATAAACCTCAATATTACCCCCATTAAAATAAAGCATTCAGATGATACCTGATTGTAAAATTTTCTGCCTATTGTCATGTATTTAGATGCTTAAATTGATGAAATAGTAAAGCTACAACCTAAAATGATGTACACGTATCTTCTTGATGACTTGATATAAATTATAATTAGACAATTCTTTTGCAATCAATTAGAAAATCCGGACAAAGGGATGGCTAACTGCACAACCTCCAAATTCCGTAACTGAATACATCCAACACATTATTTATTATAGGATCAATAGACAAAGAATATCAAAAGACAAAACGGAGTCAACCTCTAGAAATACACACGTAGGTGACGTAAAATTTTAAGCATAATGCACGAAGCAAACCTTCATATCGGTAAGAGCAGACTCCAAGTATTGAATCTTATAAGACATAGCCTCGATTAACCTCTCCTGCTCCTCGAGTTTATTGATTTTCTCAGTTAAATTTTGCTTGCTTTCCTCCAGTACGGATTCTGCATTCAATTTTATTATGCTCAATGTAGTGATGTCACAGAGAGGGAAAAAAAAGCAATAAATGTCTCAGCCTGAGGTCTAGATTTGACAGAAACTAGAACTAAGCTAAATCGTATAAGGAATCAAGGCATTCCGAAAGAAGAACAGTACAGGGTATACACCTAAGTGAGAGATCCTGAGCTCGATTTGCAGCAATTCGTCGATCAACACGTGATTAGTTGGTCGAGCAAGGGAGGCGACTTCGCAGACAGTGAAAATAAGTAAGAATATGGAGGGAAATAGACACAAAATCTTAATTGGACGAACCGCCATATTTGCAGAGCTTTCTGAGTTCCACAGCCCAGAAACCCCCTCTGCAGCACCCCGACGCAAGTAAATTTTTTCCTCCCCGTCAACATAAGATTATTATTACTATTATTAATTTTTCTTTGGGTGAGGAAAATGTAAGATGATTATTTTATGACAAATATGCTTGTAAGCCAATCAGATCTAGGATAAAATATTTTCAAGTAATACTCAATTATAAATATTGCTCAGAAGTTATCGAAGTAAGCACTTGCAAATATGGCAAAAAAAATTTAGTAAAATAAGTAAAATAGCGACCACATTTAGTTTTTTCAAATATAAAAATTTTTTTTTAGAAAAAACGGAGGTCCAGTTGTAAAATTACAAATTCACCCTTTAACATGTCTGATATATATATATATATATATCTATAATATATTTGACTACTGATATATATCTTTGATATACCACTGATATAATAATGATATACAATTGATTTACTTATGATATAACCATGATATCTATTCTACCTCTATCATGTCTTACCACTGATATACATATGTTAACCGTTGATTTACCATGCTAAAACAATACATATATATTTGATATGTCTCTAATTTACCGTTGATATACAAATGATATACCACTGATATAACCCTTATATCTACTAATATAACCATTATATATGTTTGTTATATATATATATATATATATATATATATATATTATCATATGTGTGTTGATATCATACTATTATATCCAATATCTTTTTCAGATGAAAAAAATGTTGCAAAATTTTTTATTTTTTATTTTTGAAATATAAAGTTATTATATAAAAGGTTTATGTGGACCATGCAGTCCAAAAAGACAAGTTAACATTTTGATGTACTTTATAAATTTAAACAGTTGATATCCTTTATATTTAGTATCTAATTAATATTAATATTGAATAAATAATAGTGATATAGTAATCAACATTATTGATAATATTAGTATATTAAACAACAAATTGAAATGATAAACTATAATTTAAACAGCTGATATACCACTCAAAATTAAACATTTGATATAGTTTATATTTAGTATATCAGTTGCAAGAATATTTAGTATATCAGTTGAAAATATATTTAGTATATCATAAATTAGAAGTACATCAGATATATATATATTATATGTATAATACGTACATTTGATGTATATCAGTGGTATATTTGATAATGTATATCATGGTATATCTGATACTGTATATTAGGGGTACATCGAATGTATATCGGAAGTATATAAGAGTTACATCGGATGTACATTAGATATAGATTTGATGTATATCAGATATAGATATACATCAGATATATATTAGATGTCATAAGGGTAAAATTGGAATAATAAAAAAATCGAAAATTAAAATTCAAATATTTTGCTATATTTGAAATTTTGAAAAACTGATGACATTTTTTGAAATATATAAATATTTTTGCTACCCATTACAATTTTGCCAACTTAGGAATAAGAGAGACTTCGTTCTATCTCCAATCGAGAAAAAAAAATCATTTAAAATAAAGTTTCAGTTTTATCTATTTAAATCTTTCTTTTTAAGTTCAAATCTTCTTTTCTTTTCTTTTTTTTAAATACATTTGGTCCCTGTACTTTTATTAAAATAATTAATTAGTCTCTAAACTTTAGTTTGTAACAATTTAATCTCTATAGTTTAAAATTTATAACAATTTAGTCTATATCATAAAAAAATATTAAAATTAAGTATCAAATTTTATCATATAACAATTTAATCTTTCTAATTTATAAACATATTTGATCCCTCTTTAATTTATCAATTTATATATATAAGAAACTTAATAAAAAAAAATTCATCGTTACAAAAAAATTACAATGATTAAATTGTTACATATTAAAATTCGATGACTAAATTGTTATCAATTTGAAAATGCAGTGATTAAATCGCTACAAACTAAAGTTTAGGAACTAAATTGTTACTTTAGTAGGCGACCAAAAGTGTTTTATCATTTTTTTTCCAGTACACAAATCCTAAAATTTAACAATAGAGGAAATCTAAATTTTCTATTGGCCCTCCATCTATTTACGTAGTTTGTCATATTAAAGAAATAAACGTTTGATTTTTTTTAATTGACGGGAAATAAATGTTTGATTTTAAGCTAACTAAAAAGAATGCTTTGACACTTTTTTTTAGTATAATAAGGTGTGGATTCGGACTTCGAAAAGTCGAAGATAGAGATACATAGAGTAGTCAAGTTCAAATTCGCAATACTTTGTGACATTTAGTAGGTTGATGCTCCTATTAATAAATTAATTTTAGAATTTGGGGAAGGATTACCCCTTCTATTTTTGTTTCGAGTTCTCAATCATAACCTAAGAGCTTGTAAAAGGAATGAAAAGGTAAGCATATTGAAATTTAAAATTTAGATAATTAGTTAGATGCTAGCATTATCCAGAGGAGAGATTGTTGGTGTGGTGCTCGTAATAAACCATGACAAATTTTTTCTTTTAAAATGAGGTGAAAAATCGAATCGTCTTTTGAGATGGTAATAGATCTTTTAAATGCTGACTTATTTATACTGAGAGCTTAGATGAGTGAATAACATTTCATTTGTGGCTAATTATTGTTTTTATTTTCCTTATACAAACTATGTCTCTTCTATATTTTACAAAGAAAATTGAGATGTGAAAATTCAAACCTGAAGAATAATTCAAATCATGCATTATAGCTATAAAACTCTTAGAGAAATAGCGAGAAATTATTAAAGGAAAAAAAATGGAATAAAGTCAGAGAAAGATGAGAGTATTCTAGATTTTAAGATTAACCTACCATGCACCATTTACATCTACATCGTGCATTATTTTATAACTAAAAACATGAATATGACTCAACAATAAATACATTTATTTATTCTCTTCAGATGAAAAGTTTCAACTCAATAAATTTTAGTTCAACGGGGTTAAATGATAAATATATTTTCGAGACTCTTAAATATCTCCATGTCCAACTGTTATTGAACTAAAAAAAATGGTCACAAGAAATTAAAGGCTATGAATGTTTAATATGCTATAAAATAACCATGACTATCTGGTTAATAAAAACTTTATGGGAAGAAAAACAAAACTAAATGAAATAAGTAATACTCTGAATAATTGATAAACTGGGAGAAACAATCCCTCTCTTTTGACCTTCAAAGTGAATCTAACATATCACAACTTCACTGCATTTTCATAGCCAGCATTTCACCGCTAGAAATCACTATCCACTGCACACAGTTACAGATTCTTATGCAAACTTCGTATAATCTTTGAATATATAGGTGACACTGTACTGATTTCAACATGCTTTACAGTTAACAAACACAGTTAATCCTCATTACAGTAGGGGAAGGAAGATTTTGAAGAAACTTTCAGAACGGAAATTTCACCTGGTCCTTCAGTACTATTTATGGGTTATCTGATCTCCCCATGCTTTTCACTTTTCCTGATTTCTTTGCATCATAAAGGACATCTACAAGGCTCAATTCCCCAAGTCTTCTCTGCATACTCTTGGATGGTTCTGTCACTGCTAAATCTACCCGAACCGGCTGCGCTAAGGATGCTCATCCGAGTCCATTTCTCTTGATCGATAAATGCTTTATCTGCTGCTGCCTGTTGTACACAATTGATCTTGATCATTGTGAAACAAATTACAAGGAAAAGCTAATAAACACCAAAGCTCTTGAATTTATATAACAGAAGTCAAAGGGGCACCTGTGCCTCTAAATAGCTTCCGAAATCAGCTCCAAGGAGATAATAATCGGTACTGCCCTCCACGGTGTCACATAACGATTTGAAGTAGTCTTGGAAGCCAAAATAGCCATCTCGAACCATTCTTAAAAGCATTACAGAAAACGTAGAAAGGATTTTAGAACTATGAGGAGAGTAAGCTCATTGTGCATTCGTCAGTAGTAGATTATAATAGTAGACAGTGATTGTGCACCTCACGACACGAGCAAATTGCAGAGGCACTTTAACGGTGGATCCTTTTTCACGTAACGTTGGAACTTCATGCACTTTTGCTCCAAATAAAAACTGGACCAAATGTATTAAAACTACTGTAAATGCTTATACAAACTTGATGCACTCAGGTAATTGACATCTGAAAGCCAAAACTTTCGTAAAACTCAGTTTCTGTTCCCAGAAGCTATGGTGATTATTTTTTAGGAAAAGAAGTTGGCTGTCCACAATTCTTCAATATGAATTGTATGGGCAAGATTGACTTAAGCCATGTTAATAAATAACTTCACTGAAGGCATTAGCTTGTAGTATCAAGTATGAAATAATCTCCAAATATTTCGTTGAAGGCATTAACATCTACTTATTTCACCATTATCTGTGTTTGATTCACCGACTACAAAAACCAAGAAATTGGCGAAAAACATGATGATTTGGTTATAATCTTTTCGAGATAGAAAATGTCAATTCCGAACTTAAGCATAAACTTAAAAAGGATATACTGACCATATTGTCTTCCCCTATTTCTTCAATTATTTCAACCGTAGATCCGTCTGCTGTAGCTAATAATAAACAACCATTCATAAGGAATTTCATACTACCAGTGCCTGATGCCTCATGTCCAGCAGTACTACATCAAGAAGAAGAAGAAAAGAGTAAAGCTTAATGGAGCCTTTTAAAATTTGAATATATTTCAATTATCCAAGAGACGGACTTCCAGTAATTTTGAACCCATAATAGAAATTCGTTTGAAATGAAACTAAACCACAATATCGTTTTATTCAACGCTCGTATTTTTTTTATAATTAAAAATTAAAACTTTATATCATAGATGCAGTCACGCAACTAACCATTTCGTTGGTTTGGACATTATTGTAATGTGTTACTTATTGTGGGTCTTTGGGAGGCTACCTGTAATGGGGAGGTTTTGTTTTCGACCCTGTATAGTTTTGTATAACCTTGTTCCTTGGTGTTTTGTTGGGACTTCTTTCTAGCTTCTTACTGTTCTGGAAGCTAGAAAGAAACAGTAATATTTTTTTATTAAAGTAAAATTAACCAACCTTATGTGCTGCGAAAGGTCAGCACC